CAGTTTACCATAAGATCCAGCAATTTCACTCTTAGGCATGTATCCAAAGGAGCACATTCATACAACAAGGACATCTGTTCAACGATGTTCATCACAGCATTATTTATAATAGCCAGAACATGTAAACAATCTAGATGTCCCTCAATGGAAGAGTGGATAGACAAAATGTGGTAGATTTACACAATGTTGTACTAATCTGAGGAAAAATAAAACAATGGAATCTTGAAATTCCCAGGCAAATGGATGGAACTAGAAGAAAGCATTCTGAGGGAGGTAATCCAGTTACAAAATCAAACATGTTATGTAGTCACTCGTAGTTGGATTTTAGATATAGATCATTGTATTGCCAGCCTGAAATCCACACTGCCAGAAAGGTTGGGAAACAGGGAGTACCCTAAGAGTATTCATGATACTCAAGAGAAGGGGAAGGGAACATGATCTCCTGAGTGGATTGGTATCATGGTAGGAGGGGAGAGGGGGTTAGCAGAAAGAGAATGGGAGAAGAGGACAGGAGAGGAGAACATGAGAGAGCAGGGAGATCAAGTCATGCAAAGGATAGAGTGGATCAAGAAAAGAGATACCACAATAGAGGGAGCCATTATATGTTCAAGACAAAATCTCATACTAGGGAAATGTCCAGAGGTCTACAACATTGACCCCAACTATCTGAGCAATTGATAGTCAAGAGGCTATCTGAATTTTCCTTCTTCTGTAATGAGATTACTACCTTATATGACATCCTAGAGCCTTCATCCAGTACTTGATAAAAGCAGAAGCAGACACCCACAGCTAAACACTGTGTTGACCTCTGGAATCTAGTTGCAGAGAGTGTTGAGTGATGAGCAAATGGCTCAAGACAAGGCTGAAGAATTCCAAAGAAACAACTGACCTGAAAATGGGGGAGCTTCTGTACTCCAGACTAATAGCTGGGAAACCAGGATAGGACTGTTCCAGAACCCCTCAATGAGGATGTCAGTTTGGAAGACTGGTTAGTCTATTAGGCCTCGGGTAGTTGATCAGTATTTATCCATAGTACATGAATGTACTTTGGTAGCCGACTACACATAGAGGGATACTCTCTCAGCCAAGACACATGGTAGAGGGTCTATGTCCTGCTTCAAATGCTATCATAGACTTTGAGGATCCCCCATGGAAGGCCTCAACCTCCCTGGGGCGCAGAATGGGTTGTGATAGGGTAATGATATTTAATGATCATGGGAGGAAGCGAAGGAGGGAGAGGGAACTGGGATTAACATGAAAAACAAGCCTGTTTCTAATGTAAATTTAAAAAGGAAAAATAAAAAAACAATAATTAAAACAGAATATATAACTTAACATATACATTGTTATGTAAATTGTTAAAACTACTTGTTTTTTAAGGGAAGGTGGAATTCTAGCCCCAAAACAAAACAAGACACAAAAAAAATACACCTCATGAGAATGCAAATGTTTCAAAAAGTTAATGGTCATTCAGTTATAAAACCACAGTTAAAGATATACTTAACATTTTAAAGTAGCTGAGACCTTCATTTTTATGACCTACTGTCAGTTGACGGTAAGTGATTATATACTGGAAACAAGCTCTGTACTGTGGTTGTATTAAAAGTTCAGTGAAATTTTCAATAGTGGCTTACTCTGGATTATGGATCCAATATTTGATGTCATTGTAAGACAATGAAACTGTGACTCTTCTATGATCCCAACAATAGAAAGCACAGATTGAACTCAGTGTACCTCAGTATACTATTCCCTCTGTCTACTGCTATTTCCTTTCTGTGCCCATGACTTGCAGAAAGAGGTTTAAGCTTTTAGCCATTGCTCCAACACTATGAATACCTGCCTGATACCATGCTTCCTACCTCAATATTGGTCCTCAATAATCCTTTGGAAGTACAACCACCAAATTATGCCGTTTCTTTTAAAAATTACATTGGTAGTGGTGTCTAAGAACAGGAATAGAAAAGTAAGCCATTAGATAAATTATAATCATTCTATAACCTGTATCCTCATATAGGTCAGACATAGAGGGAATTACTGGGGAACACTTGGGAGGGGGAAATGAAAAAGATTTTATGGATGGGCAAGACCTGTGTGGTAAAGAATGAGAGGATCAGATCGGAAGGGGAATTCTCTTGCAGTGGAAATGTTGTATTATATACAATGGTGACCCTAATGAATTCTCCAAATATTGAGGGACACATAGCTCCTACTGGCTATCACTTGTCATAAAATGAAGCTCATTTCTGGGATTGGGGTGGTCATATAACTGACTGATTGGCTAAATGTCTTTCATGAGTATCCCCAAACAATCCAGGCTGCTGACAAGTCTATTTTGTTCTTCCCACACTAACACTAAGACCCCATTGATGAAGAAAACACCCACAAAAGTCATTGAAAATGGAGAAGTCAAGCTGGTACCTACATAGAAACCCCCCACCGCCCATGTTCTAATGTCTATGACATGGAAAGGGTCTCTGGTGGCTACCAAGTGAAAACCAACCCAAGCATAAAACATTTGATCTGTAATCTGTACTGCTTGACAAATATGGTAGGAAAATGGTGGCACCAACTTTGTGAGAGCAGCCACCTGATTTCTGATTTGAATTAAAAGCCAAATCCAGGCATGGAATGACACCAGACACTCTTTAGTAACCAAGAACTAGAGTCTACAGAGCCCTAAGATAAAACCAAATTCTACTGCTCTGGTCATGGATTGGTGCCTTATTCAGCCATCATCAGAGAGGCCTCCTCCTGCATCAGGTGAGACCAACAACAAGACTTTATTCAGAGAGGGATAGAGCCCTTAGAACACAGATCGTTAAGGGATGTCTTTATCAAATTGCTCCCTCCTCCATGGGAGCTTATGGAAGAAGAGGCAGAATTGTGTAGGGGAAACTGAAGAGAGACAGACAGTAGAACTCTATAGCAAATGAGAAAAGTTAATTTGAACTGACAGAGACTGAAGCAGCATGCATAGGACCTACAATTGTCTGTACCAGATTCTCTGTAATATACTGCAGTTTTCAGTTTAATTCTTCTCTGTGAATACTGAATGTGCAAAGAAGTGGGGATCTGATTCTTGTTGGTTCTCTTGAAGGTCTTTTGTTTACCTGTTGGATTTTCTTGTCCATCTTCAATATGCCAGTTTTCATTTTATTTTATTATTTTTTGTTATCTCCTAAATCAATATTCTTTTCTAAGGAGAGATTGTAAGGAAGTAGATCTTTTGGGAACAGGAAGTAGAGTGGAACTGAAAGGAATAGAAGGAAGGGGAACTTTACTCAAATAAAGAAATACAAAAAAGAAAGCTAACTGAGCAAGCCATGATAAATAAGCCTGTGAACATTACCTTTCCATGGTCACTACATCAGTTCTTGCCTTCAGCTTCTAGCCCTGCTTGAATTTCTGATCTGACTTCCTTCAAGTGATGCACTATGATGTAGAAGTATAAGCCAAGAAAACTCCCTGCCAAAGAAAGAACAAAAGTAAGAAAGAGATAAAACAGAAAAGACAGATAAGAAAGAAAGAAAAAACAGATTAACTAAGACACTTGTCATTCTAGCAAAGAGAGAAATGAACAGTTAATGGAGGAAACTTCTTCCTCTCTATGCATATGATACAGGAAATGACACCTTATCTGATGATCATCTGGTCACGATGTGTTAGTAAGATTGTGAGAATAATCTCTTTCTTGTATCAGTTTGTCTAGGTACTAATCCCTTAGGATTTTTCAAATATTTAATTCTAGTTTAATTTTATTTTATGTGTACTGGTGTCTTGACTGCATATTTATAGGTACACCATATGAGAGCAATGGATCAGAGACTAGAAAAAAGGAAGGTCTAAAATATCCTTGGACTGGAGTTATGAAACATTGCTGTGTGTGTTGGGAATCAAAGCTACATCCTGAAGAATTGCTAGTTTTCTTTTTTCCAATTTGTGTTTATTTTTTAATTTTGTTTTAAATTCCAATGGTAGCTCTCCCTCCCACCCCTCCTCCTTCCCCCATTTCTCCTCCCCCCTCCTCATGTACCCCAGTCCACTCCTCTTCATGGGAAAGTGTCCCTAGGAGGAGTCAGCATAATCTCAAACAATAGGTTGGGGCAGGGCCAGGACCCTCTCCTATGCTTTGAGGCTGAGCATGGCATCCCACCATGGGGAGTGGGCTCTAAAAAGCTAGCTTATATAGTAGGTTTGTATCATGGTGCTTCTCCCAGGGGTCCTTCATCTGGTCCAAGATTCATAACTGACTCCCACATAAGGTGGGCTTATTTTGGTTTCTCCCATGCTCTTTGATAGGTAGGATCAACATAATAAAAATGTCAATTCTACCAAAGGCAATCTACACATTCAATTCATCCCCATCAAAATCCCAGGATAATTCTTCACAGACCCTGAAAGAACAATACTCACCTTCGTATGAAAAAAAAAAAAAGAACAGCTAAAGCAATACATTACAATAAAGAAACTTCTGGAGGCATAACCATCCCTGATGTCAAACTCTACTATAGAGCTGTAGTAATAAAAACAGTTTGGTATTGGCATAAAAACAGATAGGTGGATCATTGGACTCAAATCAAAGACCCTGATATCAATCCATAGAGACTTTTTTTTTTTTGCAAAGAACTGTTCTTAATCACTGAGCTATCTTGCCAATCTGCTTCCTCAGGATTTTAATGCTATAATCAGATAAAAAGTTACTTTCCAAGGTAACTCCAACTTGGTGTGTATATGTGGGCAGGTGCTGACAACCTTGTTGTATGAATGTTGCCACAACTCTATTACTCTTGAATAGTTATTTTTACGTAAATCATCACAGGTATTTCCTTGTTTGTAATGGGGAAGAGGACAGCGATTTAGGACAGAATAGTTTCTCTGATCCCTCTCTAAAACATCACATTGGCCTTTACCTCCAGGCAGAGAGAAACAATCAGCAGCTGGAGAAAGGAGAACAAGCAATCAGGACAGTCTGTGCTCTTGCTTCTGCTTCCCTGGATGGTTTATGTTGTGGCTTGAATTACTGTGGGTGGGGTACTAACAGCCTGTTGACAGTAATAAGTTGCAATGTCTTCAGGCTGCAGGCCACTGATCTTGAGAGAATACTGTGTGCCAGATCCACTGCTACTGAACCTCGAATCGATCCCATCTACCAAGCTGGATCCACTGCCACTGAACCTCGATGGGATCCCATCTACCAAGCTGTATGCATAACAGATCAGGAGCTTAGGAGGGTTCTGTGTTTTTTGCTGGCACCAGGCTAAAATATTGTCAATGTTCTGACTTGACTGGCATGTAATGGTGACACTTTCTCCCACAGATGCAGATAGCAAGGCTGGAGACTGGGTCATCTGGATATCTCCTCTGGCACCTAAGATTGGAAAAATAAGAAAAAAATTTCCACACAATTAATTCTGTTAAATGAAGACTTTCCGAGAAACCAGGCAGATTTCATCACAGTAAGATGAATACATTTCCAGTGCTATCATCCTTACCTATAAGGCAGAGCAACAGCAGGCCCAGGATCTGAGTGGGGGTCCGCATGGCTGTGCTGGGACCTCTGTGAGGCTGACTCTAGCACAGGGTATGATCTGACTATGAACAAGTCCTCAGGGCAGTGGGTTGGGCTCTAGGCACATGCAAATCAGCAATGACTCATTGGTTTATCACTGATTTAAAGATTCACTGATTCAGTAAGGCCTATGTTTCACTTATGTGTCAGGTCACAAGCAGTACAGCATTATTTGGAGAGAATATGCTCCTCTATGGAAAACTAAGGATATAATCGGCCTGTAAATGATACTTTATTTTGATTTCTGTCATACTCAATGTATAAGTTCCTTTACATGGAATGTCATATATGGTACATTCTAGAGAGTACATAAATGTTTGTAGGTCTTTTCATAGGCAGCTGTTGATGTTATGGATTTCATGAAGCTTATTCTTTTATTATCTGTGTATTTGTGACTGAATTTCAATTAAAACATTTTACACTTCCATTTCCAATCTCCAAATCCTCCCATATATCCCTCACACTCTCTTCCCAGTTCATAGTCCCTTCTTTTACTATTATTTTGTTCATACATATATTTGTATATACATATATATTCTTAAATATACAATTCTGAGAACATATAATGTTACCTGTATGTATGTTTTCAGTAGTGACAATTTGGACATGGACAACCAATTGTGTGCCCTTCCATGGGAGGGACATATCTCCTACACCCAATTTTATTCAGTTTTCTGAAGTATTGAAGCCTAGTGGGCTTTCCCTCATATAATTTGACATGTTTGTTGGTGTCTTGCTTCTTTAACTCACATATTGTCTGTAAAGTTGCAGAGACTTTACAGGCATAGCTTCTGATATCAGGAGGAGACACAATCTAACAGCAAATGCCTTAATCCTATGGAGCTTATGACCTTTCCGCCCAACTTTTTCAAAATGTTCCCTGAGTGTGGGGGTATGGGAGTGTTTTGTATTTGATTTCCATGTGATTGAGCTCCACAACTTACAATGGATCTCAGAAGGAATCATTCTTCCTAACAATGATTCTTAAAATAGTAACAGAAAAACACTGGAAAATATGTTTGTAAAGAACTCCAGGATCTCATGTAAGTAACCAAACTTTTCATGTGAAAAATCTTGTTTTTCTGTGTTTGTGATAGCTCATCTACCTACGAATTACTTCCATCAAGACCAAACAATGTTATGATATTTTTTCTTCTTCCATCTGTGCATATAATCTTTCTTCCTAGATTTGCCTGTGATTAACTCTATAACCAATGTTCCTGTGAGGTTTCAAATTACTGCTTCTGACTTTCATTTCCTCTTAATAAAGTTACTTTCTTTAAGAAATATGATTTTTCTTTCAGAAATAGTATCCATGTCTTGAATGTACAATGTTTCTAAACTTTTCATATACTATAAGAACTATAACTCTTCCGGATTCTAAGAAGACCTGTCTATTAATATTTAGTTTAGATTTAGGACAGAGTGACATAAGCTTTTTGGTGAGAGAAGCATGTAAGAATGTGGAGGTAGAAGCTACACATTGAGAATTATAGTAAGAGTGGAATCCAACTTGTTTCTTCATTGGGAGTAAGGGTATGATGGAGTTAGTGTGAGCTTCCATGAAGGTTTGAAAGGGAAGAGTTTTTCATGTGCAGGAAACTTTTGCAGTAGATAGAAATGAGGCAGGACGAGAATGACACCCACTTTAGGAATGAAAATGGTGATACATAGGAGAGACATCAGAAAGATGTTCTTGAGAGATGGTTGTATCTGAAGGCCTCACTCTCCGTGGGGAGCAGAAAGGGTATGGGAGAGTGTTAGTTGGGGGGGGAAGCAAAAGAGGAGAGGAGGCAGACTGACCAGGGATTGACATGTAAAATAATCTTCTTTCTAATTAAAATGAAAATATAGTAAAATAAAATAATAGAAAAAAGAAATATGTTCTTGGGTTAATATTTTACACAGCCACTTCAATGAAACTGTTTGCCAGCTACAGGGGTTCCATGTTAGAATTTTATGGTCACTTACAAATACTCTCTTATCATCATATAATCTGTAAATTATGATGCTTTGACTTCTGTTCCAATTTGTATACCCTTGATATCCTTCAGCTGTTGTTCTCGGTAAAATTTCAAGTCCTAGTTGAATAGACTTAGAGAGAGTAGACAACCTTGTCTTTTTCCTCATTATACTGGGATTATTCTGAGTTTATCTCCATTTCATATGATGTTGGCTATAGTTTGCTGAAAACTGGCTTTATTACTTTTAGGTATGTTTTTTATACCACTAATCTCTCCAGGACTTTTATTATAAAGAGCTGTTGAACGTTAACCTTACTCTCTGCATAATTTGGTTGTCAATGTCCAAATTGTCACTACTGAAAACATACATGCCGGTAACAATATATGTTCTCACAATTTTATGTTTAAGGATATATATGTGTATACAAATACATATAAGCACAAAATCACAGTAAAAGAAGTGACTATGTACTCGAAAGAGAGTGTGAGAGATATATGGGAAGATTTGGAGATTGGAAATGCAAGTGTAAAATATTCAGCTACCTCTTAGATACTCTTGTGGCTTATGTCATTGCAGTTAGTAGAGTTAAGGAAATTAACTGTTTCTTTATATTCTACTAGATTTTCCAAGGCAAACAGTATTTCCTAAACTTTAATCCCTGTTTAAAAAAATCAAATCTCAAACATGATGCATTCTCTGTTTAGAGAATTTGGGCATCCTGGCCATCCTTGTAACTCAACTTAACAAAGAACATACACCAATATCAAAAATAAGTGTTACTCTTTTCTTACGAGAAAATTAGAATTCCCCATTCCTCAGCTGCATAACCAAGACATACCATTACCTTTTCTTATGAAACTAAGACAAGTGTTTATTATACCTAAATAAATGGATTTATGATAACACTTATTTTTATACATATAATGATATCCAATTATTTTTGGGAGGAATTTTATAAATTGTTAATACTAGAATCTTAACTCTTGATGTCCAAAGGATTGGGCAACTTATGCAGATAAATTCATCAAGGTTTGGTGTATTCTCTGGTATTTTTCTAGGTGCCAGAACTTATCTGATACTGATGTTGGGCTGTCTAAATCATTGTCACCACATATCCTCAGGAGTCCCAGGTAGGGTGTTTATGTTCTTAGGTGTATGCAGTATCTCCATGAGTGCTTTTCTAGTCTTTCTCTATGTTCATGTCTGCCTACAGGTGTCAGTGAACATCTATTCCTCCTTTTCTAACTTCATATCTCATTGGAGGGTTGTCCATTCACAATGTCTATAGGAAACCATAGAAAGAAAAGAGACTCTGACAAGGGAAATTCTAGAAGACCTGACAATGAATGGAGAACTAGGGAATTGACTTACTGCATCACTCTTGACCCAAGCCTCAGAGTTTCCCCAGTTAGCCCACAGCATCAGCAAACACTTACACAGGTTTCCAAAATAGATGTATAGGTTTTTTGGTTCTATACTATTTCTGTGAAGAGACAACATGATTATGGCAATTCTTATAAATAAAATGAACTAGATGGGTTTTGCTTACACTTTAGTTCATTGTCCTCATTTTGGTTAGCATGGATGCACACAGGCAGACATGATAGTTGAAAGTTCTATATATGGATGAGCAAGATGCAAGAAGATAAATACACTGGGTCTGACCTGGGCTTTGGAAAACTCAAGGCACACCCACCAATGCACACTTCCTCCAACAAGGTCACACTTCCTAATTCGTTCAAGTCGTGCCAATCCATAAGAATTCAAATATATGAGCCTATAAGTAACATTCTTTTCAAGTCACCACACTAACCAGAAAAAAAACCCAAAACACTAATTACTATGTATTTTTGCAGTAACACATAAATGTAAAAATCATTTTCTTTATTTCACGTGTGTGAAGATTTTGTTTGAGGTGGTGTATTCCCTGTGCAGTAAGTGTTGTGTTTAATGCTACAATCCTTCTTACACAGCCTCTCATTTGCTGAAGCTTAGTATCACGTCACTAATCTAGTTTCTAAATAAATCTTTCTTAACATAGAAAAATATGAATAAATAAAAATTAAATGAAATATAAATTTAAGAATTATTACCAGAATAAGTAAATATTTTTCAATTCAAAATTATTCAGTTACTAGGGCAATCTGTGTATCAATGAGAACATGCTGTTGCAAATGGAAAGATTTAGACATACTGAATGAATACCTCCATTTGCAAAAGATACCTTGGACTCAAGGATCTTGTTATCGTGTATTCTTCCCCTGACTCATATTTTCTGCTCCCTAATGTCCTCGGCATCCCTCTTCATCTCCCCTTCTCATTCACCTAGCTCCCTCCCCCATCTAACACTGTCTGTTGTTTGTGGCAATTGTAAAGGGTAATATTTCTCTGATTTCTTTCTCCACCAATGTGTCATCGGTATATAGTAGGGCTATGGATTTTTTTGAGTTAATCTTGTATCCTGCCACTTTGCTGCAGGTGTTTATCAGCTGTAGGAGTTACCTGGTAGAGTTTTTTGGGTCACTAATATAGACTATCATATCGGCTGCATATAGTGAGATTTTGATGTCTTTTCCGATTTGTACTCCCTTGATCTCCTTTTGATGTCTTATTGATCTAGCTAGGACTTCAAGGATAATATTGAAGAGGTATGGAGACAGTGGACAGTCTTATCTTGTCCCTGATTTTAGAGGAATTAGATTGAGCTTCTCTCAATTTAATTTGATGCTGGCTGTTGCCTTGTTGTATATTGCTTTTATTATGATGAGGTCCGTTCCTGTTATCCCTAATTTCTCCAACACCTTTATCATGAAGGGGTGTTGGATTTTGTCAAAGGCTTTTTCAGCATCTAGTGAGGAGATCATGTGGTTTTTTCTTCTCTCTGTCTGTTTATATGGTGGATTACATTGATGGATTTTCGTATGCTGAACCATCCTTGCAACGCTGGGATGAAACCTACTGGATCATGATGGAGGATTTCTCCAAATATGCTCTTGTACTCGATTTG